ATTTTTTTACTAATAATAGAAATTTTATAATGTGTTATTAAAACAAAAAAGCAAAAAAAAAAATAAATTGAATTTTTGATTTTTTTTTTTTTAATAAGTCGCGAATTACAAAAACCCTTAATATATTTTATTTAATAGAAAAAAGTTTATTTTTAAAATACTGTACATTTCATAAAAAAAACATAATAATAAAAACGAAAAAATTCAATGTAAGTATATATATTTTTTTTTCATTTCTATCCGTTATCATAAATTGTGAATTAGACTAAATGGAGATGAAAATGTCGATAAAATAATAAAGGCATAAAAAAAATTCGGCATAAGTAAATATTTTGAAAATATTAATCTTTTGATGAAAGTGAAAAATTTTTACACCTTATTCACTTAAAAGCGAATAGATAAAAAATTCACATCTTATTCTCTAAAAAGCGAATAGATAAAAAATTCACATCTTATTCACTTAAAAGTGAGTTATTCACTTAAAAAGTGAGTTATTCACTTAAAAAAGTGAGTTATTAACATCTTATTCACTTAAAAGTGAGTTATTAACACTCCCAATTTAATGTTAATCAGTATTTACAAAATAACACAACCTCTGCTTCCTCGACCATTAAACCTAGTCCCAACTCTATTATTCCTGGTATTAGATCTCAATTGAATTCCTAAAGGATTTCTTAATGAAAGACTATTTGAACTAGTAAAACGTCTAATTATCCTATTTCTAACCCAATTAGAACCACCACCACCACCACCATTTCTTCTACCATTATTATTATTATTATCATCATCTTCTGAATCACTATTATTATTTGCTTGCCATGAATAATAACCTTTTAATTTTAAATTAACTCCAGATTCGGTAGCTTTCTTTACAGTTTCTCTAACTGCAAAAATTGAAATATTTCTACAATCAAATATTTCTACTTCCATATAATTAATCCTATTATCAATTAATATTGAAGAAATATTATGTAAAACTACATCTGTTAGCAATTGACAATGATCAAGATCAATATGAAAAATTTTTGAACATTGTTGTAAAAGTGTAACTACACCATTATCGGTAATAAGTTCACAATAACTTAAACAAATCTTTTTAAGATTTGAAAGATAAGCTGCGAAAGATTGTAAAACTTCATCATTAATACAAGGACAATCTTCTAAATCAATCACCTCAATTTTTTTACATTTTGAAGCTATATAAATGAATCCATTATCTGTAAAATTTG